CCCTTCTCCTCCATTCTCCTCTCGGGATCTTGGGCATGCACGCACAGGTGTGTGGCGTGAGTTTAGGCCACTGGGTTCGGGACTCAAACCGAGGTCGACTGTATGGGAGTTCAGCGACATAGCCATTACGCTAACTGCTGGTCCCATCTTTTTTCTTTTTTTAAAAAATTTTATTTAGGGACCAGCAGGTGGCATGGTGGTTAAGGTACTGGACACTTCCACCCACATGACCACGGTTCAAGTCCTGGACCTAGCATCTTGCACGCATGCTCTCTCTCTCTCTCTTTTTCTTTCTCTAATCAAATTAAAATAAAATGAATAAATAAATAAAATTAAATTAAAATAATATTTTTACTTAATTTTTTTTTCATTTTACTAGAGAGGAACAGAGTGAGCTCTAGAGAGAAGGAAAGAGGGAAAGTGAGAAAGCAAGCTGCCAGGTCGAGGACTCAAACCGCGGTTGGCCATGTGGGAGTCCAGCACCCTTAACCAGCATGCCACCTGCCAGCGCAGCTAAGGACGTTTTCAAAGGAGCCAGGCAGATGTGGATTTAGGTGTTAATTCTACTTCCTGCTATTTATCTGGCTATACTGTGTAATTCCTCTTTCCTCCTTTGTGAAAATGGATACCTCATAGGATTATTGAGAGATTAAATCACAAGGCCAGCAGGTGGTATGGAGATTAAGGTGCTGGGTTCGCACATGGCTGACTGTGGTTCAAGTACCTTGCTTTCTCTTTCACTCTTTTTCACCCTTTGTGTGTCTCTCTCTCTCTGATAAGCTCACATGTCCTATGGAAAATTAAATAATAATTAAATTGTTGCACTGGCTTTGTGGCTTGGTAGTTAAGGCAGCTGGATCTCACAGGGCTTACCACACGGTTTGAGTCCTAGACTCGGCAACTTGAGAAACATACCAGACACTTGTGGGCCCAAAATTGTCAAAGGAGGGAGAGACGTCATTGGTCGGGCTGTGTGGCCGTTCCCCACAGGGGATGCTTCTCTTCTCCCTCCCTCTGTCTCTCTGGTCCTGGCTTGCAGTCTCTAACCAAAGAAATAAAGATTGCATTACTGTAACTGTTGTCAAAATGCTCGCTATTTGGTGAACGCTTCCTTTTCTCGGAGAGTACAGCCATGTACTGCAGAGCAACGTTTGGTCAGTGATAGACTGCGTGTGCTGCAGTGACCACCAGAGTGTGTAGACGGTAAATAGCCTCAGTGTGCCGTCAGTGCGTCCACCAGGTCTATGTGAGAACATGGACGGTCACTAGATGACAGCACCTCCCCACTGTGAGTAACACCTGACTGGACGTTGGTGGGACCATTGACTGTGACTCGGTGGGGCTTTCTTTGATTATTAGAAGAAGGATTGGGGGTGAGCCTGTGGCCTGGTTTTATTGTGAGTTTGATCCCACAATTTGAGTCTTGGACCTGGTGGCTGGAAAAGCATGCTGAGGGGACCAGCAGTTAGCGTAATGACTGTCGCTGGACTCCCACGTAGCTGACCGTGGTTCGAGTCCCAGACCCAGTGGCTTAAACTCAGGCTGGGCGTGTGTGCGTGCGCGCCCAAGATCTGAGAAGAGAATGGAGGAGAAGGGATTGCGGCGTGGCCATCCCCCTGGGGGGTAATTTCTCGCTTTCTGTCTGTCTCTGTCTGTCTGGTGAGCGCACGTGCCCTATAGCAAAAACCTCTAAGAAAAAAAAAAAAGAAAGAAAGAAAGAAAATGGATGCTGAGGGCTTGTGCATGCTGTGCCCTGAATCCAGAAAGAAGGGAAAAATGCAGAAGGGATTGTGGCGTGATCAGGCCCCATGGGGAGTCTTTTCTAGTTTACCCTGTTCCTGGGACCACCAGATGGTGTTATATTGCTGGACTCCCATGTAGTCGACTTTGGTTCAAGTCCTGAACCTGGTGGCTTAAAAAAATTCATGCTGAGTGCGAGTATGTGCATATGCCCAAAATCCTGAGAGGAGAGTGGAGAAAGGATTGTGGCTTCGTCATCCTCCCGGGGGTGATTTCTCAGTTTCTGTTTCTCTGGCAAGTGCACGTGGCCTGTTGCAAAAAGTCTCTCTAGCTTACCCTGTTTCTTTTTTTCTGTTTCCAGTGAGCACATGTGCCCTCCGGCGAAAAGGGGGAGGAAAAGGAAATAAGAAAGAAGAATTTGTTGTTTATGAAATTTTCATTTTACAGAAAATATATAAGAAGGTGTATGTTTTTTCACCACAGCTTGTCTTTTTTTATGGTGTACTAATGCTATTTTTTATATACATTTTGCAGTCAGATGTCTAATTTGATGAATCAAGCAAGGCTGAAGGTCCTCAGAGCGAGAGATGACCTTATCACAGTGAGTAGTTAGCCCTTGTTAGTGATAAATTACAAATGTCTCTTCACCTGCCTGCTGTAGAGAATCACTAGTTACTGGTTAATAGAGTCGATGGTTAATTTTTGGAGGGAAACATTTGCTCGGTAAATCAGTGCTGGCTGTTATGGTAAATAAATCATGAATAAGAGGTAAAGCCATGTTGGACCAGCCCTGTAACTTACTGGTTAAGAGAGCTGGATCCATGTGGCTGACCGTGGTTCAAGTTGTGGCCAGCAGCTTATACAACACGCCAGGTATGAGTGCATGTGTGCCTGAAGTCCCGACTGGGTGGGAAGGGAAGAGAAGGGATTGCGGCGTGACCATGCCCCACTGGGAGTTTCCGTCCTCCTCTCCCTCTTTGGGTTACTCTCTGGTGAACCACATGCACCCACTGCCAATTAAGACGAGGGAGACTAGCCGGGTGTTCAGGGACCTTCTGCTCTGACATACCTGTGTGCCCTCCTGGATCGTGAGGCTCACAGTGAGAAGACTATACAGCACGAGGTCAGAGAGTGGTGAGGCTTCATGGTACGGTGGGAAAAGGTTTGCAGCAAAGCCCTCTGGGAAGTGTTGTAGTCGTCAGGAAGAGGGCAGAGACCTGCAGAAACACAGCCGCTGCCTGAGGAGGCCTAGCAGGGGCCTGCCTGGGGTCCTACTCAGGAACACAGCAGGTTGTTTGTGTTCTGTAGGTCGTGTGTGCTCGCCAAAGAGAGAGAGACAAAGAGACAGAGAGCAAGAAATCACCCCCCAGGGAGGATGGCCATGCCGCAATCCCTTCTCCCCAATTCTCCTCTCGGGATCTTGGGCACACATGCACACGTGCCCGGCATGAGTTTAAGCCACCGGGTCCAGGGCTTGAACTGCATTTGACTACATGGGATTCCAGTGACATAGCCATTATGCTGACTGCTGGTCCCAAAATATTTTTCTTTGTTCATGAGAGTGCATGTTCCCACGAGAGAGAGAGAGAGAAGTGCCCTCCCCAGGATCTGGTCAGGCTGCAGTCCCCTCCCCACAGTCCTCCCGCCTACTGGGCCTATGTGGACACACCCCGCGTGTTTCAGGCTGGCCAGACGGGGATTCACACTGCAGTCCCCGTGTGGGATCCAGCTCTCTTGAGCAGTACATTACTGTTGTACCATGAACCTGGCCCATAAATGTACTTTTTTTTTTTTTTTTCCTGGGCTGGTCCCATGGTCTAGGGGTTAAGGGAGCCAGCTCCTACGTGACTGAGTACACAGTTCAAATCCAGGCTCCGGTGGCTTGAAAAGCATGCTGGGCCAGGGCTGGCAGGTGGCGTGGTGGTTATGGGCGCTGGACTCCCACCTTGCCGATCACAGTTCAAGTCCTGGACCTGACGGCTCGCTTTCTCACTTTCCTTTTTTCTGTCCCTCTCTGGTCAAATTAAAATAAGTAAATAAATGAATAAAGTTAAATAAAATCTTTAAAAAAGAAAGGAAAAAAAGCATGCTGCACCGATGGGTATAGTGGCTGAAGTCCCAAAAGGATGGGTAAATGGAAGAGCAGGAATTGGAGCATGACCACGCCCCACTGGAGTGCTTCCTCACTTACCCTCTCTCCCTGTCCTTGGCAGCTCACCCACCCTCTGGCTTATAAGCAAAAGGAAAAAAAGTTGTATTCCATGAAAGAGAAAGGGGTCACTCCCAACAGGTTGCTCACACCATAACTCACCCCAGCCTTAACCAGCTCAGGTCACGGGTATTTTGCATGTTCAGGGAGGGAGAGGATGCAAATGCAGGACTGTCCCATGCGAATCTGGTTGCATTACCACTGTGCCATTGTCTGGCTCAAATGTCAGTTCTTTTTCTTTTTTTAAATTTTCCAGAGTGCATGTGCCTTTACGAGAGGGAGAGGGAGAGGGTGAGGGCGAGGGCGGGCGAGCGGGCATGGTCATGTTGCAATCCCTTCTCCACTCTTCTTTTTTTTTTTTTTAATTATTTATCTGGACCGCAGATGACGTAATTGTTATGTCACTGGACTCTTCATGATTCAAATCCTGGACCCAGCACCTTAAATTCATTCTGAGTGTATTTGTGTGCGTGCCCAAGACCTAGGGAAGAGAATGGAGGAAAAGAGGTTGCGGTGTGGCCATCCTCTCTTGGGGATGATTTCTTGCTGCCTTTCTCTGTCTTTCTGGTGAGAGCAAGCCACCATGTCCAGTACTCGAACTGTGGTCCATATTGTGGGAGTCCAGCACCCTTAACCACCATGCTACCTGCCAGCCCTGCAAAACCTGTTTGTGTTTTTTGTTTTTGTTTAATTAATTTTAATTTGACCAGAGAGGGCAGAGTGAGGGGAGTGGATAATGAAAAAGCAAGCCACTAGGTCCGAGACTTGAACCGTGTCGGCCACGTGGGAGTTAGCACCTTTAACCCCCACACCATCTGCTGGCCCCTGAAACTTATTTTTTTTCCAGGTTTTTGCCATAGGGCACTCTCCAGAGAGACAGGGAGAGGCAAAGTGAGAACTCTCCCCGAGAAGGTGTGGCCATGCCACAGTCCCTTCTCCTACATTCTTTGGGAATTGGGGGATGCATGCACATGTGCCAGTATGATTTTTCAAACCACTGGGTTCAAGACTCAGACCATGATTGGTCATGTGGAGTCCAATGCCTTGACCACCGCGCCACCTGCTGGCCTGACAGGAAACTTTTAAATAGCTGCTGCATTCGCCCGGTACCTGACCCAACAGGAGGGTGCAGTGGCCTCTTTCCTGTCTCCCTGTCTGTTGGCACCGGTGTGGGAGCAAGCGCTCACTGCAGTTGTGCTGGACATCAGAGGTGAGCTTCAGGGCAAATAGGGAGCTTGCTACTTCGGGGCCACTCCCTACATTCTACCTTTCCCAAATCCTGACTCACTTCCCTCAGCAAGCCTGTCTCTCTCCGTCCTCTTTAAAATACCAAAAGCACAGCTTTGCGAACATCACAGTATAACTAAGAGAGACTGTACGGAATGCTTCTGTGCATAAACGTGCCTGAGTGTTGGGGGCCAAGAACTGACGCCAGAGCATTAGAAGACCAAGTCCTCAAGGCAGCTAGATGCTGCATGGCCAGCTGCTTTTCAAGTCCCTGACTGGTTTCAAAAACACTGGGCTTGTGTGCGTGTGTTCCTAAAATCCCAACAGGAGGATGGAAGAGGAGACTGTGCTGTGGCCATCCCCCTGGGGTTGGTATCTCACTTTCCTCTTTCTTTCTCTCCTGGCAAAAGACACCCTATATCAAATGGAAAACAATAAAGATGAGTGCTCTTTTAGCTAGCAGGAAGCTGTAAACACTTACTGCCTAGTGACTAATCTCCAATATGTTCTTTTTATTTATTTATTTTATTCAACTTGATTTATTTCATTTGAGGAGAAGAGGGACAGAGTGAGAGAAGGAAAGCAAGAAAGCAAGCCTCCAGGTCCAGGACTCGAACCATAGTTGGCCATGTGAGAGTTCAGTGCCCCAACCACTATGCCACCTGCTGGCCCCCCAATGTGTTCTTTTTTTGGGGAAGAGAGGTTTTTGCTATGGGGCACACACGCTTGCCAGAGAGATGGAGAGACAGAAAGCGAGAAATCACCCCCCAGGGAGGATGGCCATGCCTCAATCCCTTCTCCATTCTCCTCTCGGGATCTTGGGCACGCACGCACACACGCCCGGAGTGAGTTTAAGCTACCGGATCTAGGATTTCAACCGTGGTCAAATACATGGGAGTTTAGTGACATAGCCATTACACCAACTGCTGGTCCCACAAATGTGTTCTTTTTAACCATGAAAGATTTGTTTCCAGAGAATTCCCTTTAATTTCTAATTTTGATTTTTAGAGGCTCTTGCCTTAGGGTGTGTACGCTCACCGAGAGAGAAAGACAGTGACAAGGAAAAAGAAAGTGAGAAATTGCCGTAATCTCCCCTCCCAGTTTGTTGGGCACACGCACACGCACCAGCTGTGGTTTTCAGGATGCTGGGTCTAGGCTTTGAACTCTGGTCAGCCATGTGAGAGTCCAGCGACGTGACTGCTCTGCCATCTGCTGGCTCAATAGTAATTGTTTATTTAAAATGATTTATTAGAATTATTATTTATAAATTTGCTGTAGAGCATATGTACTCACCAGAGAGAGAGAGAGACAAAGTGAGAAAGCACATTGCCAGGTCTGGGACACTTAACTGCAGTCGGCTGCGTGGGAGTCCAGTGCCACACCACCTGCTGACCCCCTAATTTTGAAAGATTTACTACAAAATTTAATGCATGTCATAGCCTAATTAGAAACTATAAACTAGCACCCAAACAATTGAAATTATTTCTAATCTGGCATATTTAAAGTGCATTGCTGGGGGGCCAGCAGGGGGTGCGGTGGTTAAGGGCGCTAGACTCCCACATGACTGACTGTGGTTCAAGTCTTGGACCCAGCAGCTTGTTTTCTCTCTCTTTCTGTGTCCCTCTATGGTCAAAATAAATAAGTAAATAAATAAAGTTAAGGGAACCAGCAGTTAGCATTTTGGCTGTGTTGCTGGACTCCCATGTAGTCGACCACGGTTCGCGTCCCAGACCCGGTGGCTTAAAACTCACGCCGGGCGCGTGTGCATGTATGCCCAAGATCCTGAGAGGAGAATGGAGGAGAAGGGATTACGGCATGACCATCCCCCCTGGAGGATGATTTCTTGCTTTCTGTCTCTATTTCTCTCTCTGTCTGTCTGGCGAGCACACGTGCCCTATAGCAAAAACTTCTCCAAAAAAAGGGAAAAAAATAAAATAAAATAAATAAAAGTTAAATAAAATAATTCTTTAAAAAAAAAAGTACATTGCTGGTTTTTGACCTATACATAGACATGTTTTTTTCCACATAAAAAATGGAACCATGTTCTGTGACTTCTTTTGTAAAGTTTTATTTAATTTTATTATTATCTTTTAAATTTGCTATAGGCCGCGTGCACTCACCAGAGAGAGGGAGACAGAGAGAAAGGAAAGCGAGCAAGCAAACTGCCAGGTTCAGAATTCGAACCAGTTAGCTGTGGGGAGTCCAGCGCCCCAGCCAGCACACCATCTGTTGGCCCCACGTGTGACTGTCTCAGTAGCTAGCTTTTCACAGTCGTGTCATGCAGATCTGCCCACGTTACACAAGGAGAAAGGTGTCTGAGCCGCTAGGAGGTGTTCTAGGTGGGAGCTGGGGGGGTGGTTTGTGCTTCCTGTGTCAGCGAGCTCTGTCGTGCATCTCAGGGAATGTGTGTTGAATAAAAAGCCAGCACTAAAATGTGGGGTGGTCGGTGTGAGCTGGGTCCAGCCTCACAGTGACTGAGCTAGTTGCCCAGATGTGAAGGTCACTTTTTTCTTCCTCCCTCATTGCAGGACCTTCTGAATGAAGCAAAGCAGAGACTCAGCAAAGTGGTGAAAGATACATCCAGGTACCAGGTGCTGCTGGATGGACTGGTCCTCCAGGTACCCGACAGGCCAGACCACCCCGTGTGTAGCCTCCTTCTGAGAACTCGTGCGTGCTCTGTCAACGATCAGCTGTTTCCCGTTTTCTGAGCTGACCTTTTTTCCTTTCGTTCTTCTCCTGCATAAAACCGGTGCCCCGGGAGGATAGGGATGTCTGCCTTCTTGGCGAAAGCTGCCAGCTTATGGCTCTCTCATCTTATTTTTATTTTTATAGCTTTATTGTATTTAACGTTGTTCATTTTAATTCAACCAGAGAGGGACAGAGTGAGAAACAGAGAGAGAGGGGGAAAGTGAGAAAGCAAGCCACCAGGTCCAGGACTCGAACTGTGGTCGGCCATGTGGGATTAACCAGCGCGCCACCTGCCAGCCCCCTCTCACCTAGTTTTATTAGTCCTTTATCACTCGAGTCAAATTTGCTTCCTGCCCCACCGTTAAACGTCCCTACTCTGATTCTGTCCCTACAATACTGGCTTTGGATATTGGGGTGGAGACCACACGATGTGCGTCGTGTTAATTCCCGCTGGGTTCTGGATCCTCGCTCTACCCATGTTGACTGCAGGGGCATTTGTCCCAAATCTGGGGACTGCAACACAAGACTCCTGTCCGAAGGAACCTTCTTACTGCACGGAGCCGTGGGCGTATTTGCCTGGGGAAGAGGCTCTCTTTACGTGAGCTACCCTGTGTGTGGGGACTGTTTTCCAGCTCAGACAAATGAACTATAAACACATTTCATTTTGCTGTTGCTTTGTTTTTTATAGTTAGTGTTTTCTACTGATTCATTTTCCAGGGCTTGTACCAGTTGTTGGAGCCCCGAATGATTGTTCGCTGCAGGAAACAAGACTTCCCTCTGGTAAAGGTAAAGAAATTGAGAAACAGAGAGAGAGGGGGAAAGTGAGAAAGCAAGCCACCAGGTCCAGGACTCGAACTGTGGTCGGCCATGTGGGATTAACCAGCGCGCCACCTGCCAGCCCCCTCTCACCTAGTTTTATTAGTCCTTTATCACTCGAGTCAAATTTGCTTCCTGCCCCACCGTTAAACGTCCCTACTCTGATTCTGTCCCTACAATACTGGCTTTGGATATTGGGGTGGAGACCACACGATGTGCGTCGTGTTAATTCCCGCTGGGTTCTGGATCCTCGCTCTACCCATGTTGACTGCAGGGGCATTTGTCCCAAATCTGGGGACTGCAACACAAGACTCCTGTCCGAAGGAACCTTCTTACTGCACGGAGCCGTGGGCGTATTTGCCTGGGGAAGAGGCTCTCTTTACGTGAGCTACCCTGTGTGTGGGGACTGTTTTCCAGCTCAGACAAATGAACTATAAACACATTTCATTTTGCTGTTGCTTTGTTTTTTATAGTTAGTGTTTTCTACTGATTCATTTTCCAGGGCTTGTACCAGTTGTTGGAGCCCCGAATGATTGTTCGCTGCAGGAAACAAGACTTCCCTCTGGTAAAGGTAAAGAAATTGGAAGACAAGATTTTTCTTTTTTAAATATCAAGGGGGTAAGAAGACACATCTGGTCTAATAGGTAACAGCAGAGCTGGAGTTTGAGGAGTCTTAACACGTCACAGTTATCACATACACTGAAGCTCTGGGCCAGCCAGTGGCATGCTGGTCAAGGCAGTAGATCCCACATGGCTGACTGCACAGTTAGAGTCCCTTACCCAGCAGCTTGAAAAACGCAGGTACCCGACAGGCCAGCTGGGTACGTGCATGCCCAAAATCCCAAAAGGAGGGAGAAGTGGAGGAGAAGAAATGGCAGCGTGAACATCTGACATGGGAGGTGCTTTTTCATTTTCTCTCTCACTTTGTCCCTGTCCAGCCAGTACACATGCTGTCTGGCAACTTAATCATAAGCAAAACAAAACAAAAAAACACTTGAGCTTCTAGGAGATCGAGTAACTGTCTAGTAGTACCCTCCTCTCTTTCCAGGAACTTTGTTGTTTTGTTTTTGTTTGTTTGTTTGTTTGTTTTGGTAGAGGTTTTTGCTAAAGGGTGCGTGCGCTCGCAAGACAGAGAGAGACAGAGAGATAGAAAGCGAGAAATCACCCCCCAGGGGGGATGGCCATGCTGCAATCCCTTCTCCTCCGTACTCCTCTCGGGATCTTGGGCACGCACGCACACGTGCCCGGCGTGAGTTTAAGCCACCGGGTCCAGGACGCAAACCAAGGTCGACTACGTGGGAGTCCAGCGACACAGCCATTACGCTAACTGCTGGTCCCTCTTTCCAGGAACTTTGTAAAAATATTAAAAAATATTATAATCTTGGGGCTGGCAGGTAGCGTGGTGGTTAAAATGCTGGACTCCCGGGACCAGCAGGTGGTGTGGTGGTTATGGCGCTGGACACTCCCACATGGCTGACCACGGTTCGAGTCCTGGACCTGGTGGCATGAATGAATAAATAAAATTTTTTAAAAAATGCTGGACTCCCACATGATCAGCCAGGGTTCAAGTTCCATCCTGACCTTGGTGACTTTCTCTCTTGCTCTCTCATGAGTACATGTGTCCTATAGCAAATTTAAATAAAAATAATAGTTAATAATTTTTTTTAATCACATAATAAATGCTACACTTTCTAGGGCTAGCAATTGATGTGGTGGTTATGACACAGGATTTTGGGACCAGCAGTTAGCATAATGGCTATGTCGCTGGACTCCCACGTAGTTGACCGTGGTTTGCGTCCCAGACCCGGTGGCTTAAAACTCACGCCGGGCATGTGTGCGTGTGTGCCCGAGATCCTGAGAGGAGAATGGAGGAGAAGGGATTGCGGCGTGGCCGTCCCCCCTGGGGGGTGATTTCTCACTTTCTGTCTCTGTCTCTGTCTGTCTCTCTGGTGAGCACACGCGTCCTATAGCAAAAACCTCTTAAAAAAAAAACCACAGGATTTCACACTGGATCTCACATGACCATTTTTAAACTCCCAGACCCAGCTGCTTGAAAGTCTCTCTGGGTGCGTGTGCATGTCTTAAGATCCCAAGAGGAGAATGGAGCAGAAGGGATTGCTATTTGGCCATTCCCCCCCAGGGGTCGATTTTTCACTTTCCTTCTCTGTCTCTCTAATGAGTGTACATGCCTTATAGCAAAAAACAAACAAACAAAACCAAAGCTGTACTCCTTGATTGGACCTGAGGCATGCAGGCAGGCATTGTAGAGGGCAGTACTGCCAGACCAGCAGAGCCGGCTCTGTCCTAAGGAAATGCAGTCACATGCTGAGACGGAGGTGTTCCCAGGAAGGGCTCCTCGGCTCTCCTTACATGTCTTGTTGCTTTTCAGGTAAAATTCTTTCTCCATTTAGCATAAATTAAGGCAGGGATTGAGTGTTCAGTTCTCTAGCAATTACATGATAAATTAATACATTTGTAATATATTTGCATTTTTCAAGAGAGATTTTTACTATTGGGTGCCTGGGGAGAATGGCTATGCCACAGTTCTTTCTCCAACATTCTCCTCTCAGGACTTGGGCCTGTACACACGCGCTCCCAGTGTGAGGTGTTTTTTTTTTTTTTAAAGGATGATTTATTTCACTTATTTCTTTAGGGTTTTTTTTTTGAGAAGTTTTTGCAATAGGGTGTGTGTGCTTGCTAGAAAGAGAGAGACAGAGAGATTGAAACCAAGAAATCACTCCCCAGGGGAGATGGTCATGCCACAGTCCTTTCTCTTTCATTCTTCTCTCGGGATCTTGGGCACACACGCATACACGCCTGGCATGAGTTTGTAAGCCACTGGGTCCAGGACTCGAACCGTGGTCAACTACATGGGATTCCAGCGACATAGCCATTACACCAACTGTTGGTCCCACTTACTTATTTTTAATTTGACCAGACAGAGAGAGAAAGGGAAAGTGAGAAAGCAAACCACCAGGTCCAGAACCCCATCCATGGTCGACCATGTGGGAGTCTGGCGCCTTAGCCACCACGCCTCCTGCTGACCCTCCCACGTGTGAGTTTGAAGCCCCCAGGTCCAGGACTCAGACTGCAATAAACTACGTGTGAGTCCAGCATGTAACCAGTACGCCATCTGCTGGTCTGGGTATATATTTGCATCTTGCTATAGTTCTCCCTAAGCAACTTGTCTGTTGGGAAAGGAGCCGGGCCCTTTCAAGTACACACTCTGGAGTCATGAAGTACAGTCAGGTTGTGCAGCCATCATGGCTGTCCTGAAGTAGTTCACCCTCTCATACTGAAATTCTGTATCTGCCAAACATTGACTCCCAACTCCTCATTGTGTTCTGTTCTGTTCTGCAGACCTCATACTAGTGGACTGGTATAATTGTCTTTTGCGCTTGGCGTATTTCACTTAGCATAATGTTGTCAAGGTTCACCTACATTATAGCATGCGTCAAAATTTTGTTCCTAGGGACCAGCAGTTGGCATAATGGCTATGTCACTAGACTCCCACGTAGTCGACCACGGTTCGTGTCCCGGACCCAGTGGCTTAAACTCACGCTGGGCGCGTGTGCGTGCATGCCCAAGATCCCAAGAGGAGGATGGAAGAAAAGGGACTGTGGCATGGCCATCCCCTCTGGGGGATGATTTCTCACTTTCTATCTCTTTGTCTCTCTCTGTCTGTCTGGTGAGCGCACACGCCCTATAGCAAAAAAACCTCTCAAAAAAAAAAATTTGTTCCTATGTGAGACTGATATTGTGCCATTATGTTCACATCCTGTCTCTTCTTCCGTTGTTGATAGACACATGGTTGGTTTCCACCTTTTGTCGTATTAATGCTGCTCTATACACAGATGTACAAATATCTGCTTGAGTTCTTTAAATTATTTTGGGCACATATCCAGAAGTGTAATTGCTGGATTATGTGGTAATTCTGTTTATGTGTTTTTTTTTTTTTCCTTTGGGGCAAATGCACTTGCCAGAGAGAGACAAAGACAATGAGAGAGAAAATGAGAACTCACCCTTCACCCCCAGGGAGGGATGGCCATGCCACAGTGCCTTCTCCTTCAGTCTCCTGTCAGGATCTTGGGCACGCATGTGCATGTACCCAGAGTGATTTTCTTTTTGAGAGTTTTTTTTTTTTTTTTTTTTTTTTTTTTCTCTATGGGGCGTGTGTGCTTGCTGGAGAGACAGACAGAAAGTGAGAAATCACCCCGGGGGAGAGGGGGATAGCCACTCCACAGTCTCTTCTCCATTCTCTTGGGATTTTGGGCACACATGCACCCAACATGAGTTTTAAGCCACTGGGTCTGGAACTTGAACTGCAGTAAAGTCTGGTGACATAACTATTATGCAATTATGCCTGCTCTAACCTTAATTTTCAAGTTGTCAGGTCCAGAACTTGAACCATACAGCTGACCATGTGGGATCCAGTGCTATAACTTCCACACCTGCATTTAATATTCTGAGAAACTGGACCAACAGATGCTGCAGTGGCTAAGGACACTGGACTCCCACATGGCCGACCACAGTTTGAGTCCCAGATCTGGCAGCTTGCTTTCTCACTTTCTCTCTCTCTCTCTTTCTTTCTATCATTCACACTGGTCAAATTAAAATAAGTAAATTTTAAAAATATGTGTCTTGAGGAACTGCTGTACCATTTTCCACAGAGCATTTACATTTTAGTAGTACACAGGGTTCCAGCTCTACATCCTTGCTGACGTTTGTCTTTTGCCCATCTTGATTGGTGTCCAGTGGTACCACTCTTTCTGATACAGGTCGTTAGCTCCCTTGTTAATTTATTTATATATTTAGTGGTTTCTGCCTCAGGGCATGTGCGCTCGACAGACGGTGACAGGGAGAGTGAAAAATCATCCCCCCCACCCTGTGAGGATGGCCACGTGGCAGTCTCCTCTCCTTTATCCTCTTCTCGGGACGCTGGGCACACATGCATGTGTGCCTGACGTGACTCTCAAGCCACCGAGTCTGGGACTCGAACCGTGGTCAGCCATGTGAGAGTCCAGCAATGCAACTGCCATTCCGTCCACTGGTTCTGTAAGTTCCTTTTTTTTTTTTTTAACAGAATTATTTTATTTTGGGGGACCAGCATGTGGTGTGATTAAGATGCTGGACACTCCTACATGGCTTACCATGGTTCAAGTCCTGGACCTTGTGGCTTTGCTTATTTTCTCACTTTCTCTCTCTCTCTGATCAAATTAAAATAAATAAGTGAATAAATAAAAAGTTAGTAATTCTTGTAAACAGCATTGTTTTAACTTTATTTATTTATTTATTTACTTTAATTTGACCAGAGAGGAACAGAGTAAACAAGAGAGAGAAGGAAGAAAGCAAGCTTCCAGGCTGCCAAGTCCAGGACTCAAACCACAGTTTTTTTGAGTCTAGCGCCTTAACCACCAAACCACCTGCTGGCCCCCATCAGTCCCTTTTATAACTGTCGCTTTAAACTCGTGTCTACAGCCAAACTCTCCTCTCCTCAGTCTTGATGGCCCTAGCTGGTGGTAACGTGCTTCATCCCAGATCTCTGTCCCTGGCGTGTTTGTCAGTGGCCAAGCCTGTTGGTTCTCTGCAGAAGTTGCTAGCATCTCCTCCGTCCCGCAGGCAGGCTCTCGTTCATGCCTTTTCTTCTCAGCAGTGTGACATTGTACCTTCTCACCAGCAGTGCATCTCTTCCTTCACTCGAAATAAATAGGAATATCCTTACATGTCTAGTTTGTAGATTTGGAGGAAAGGTACTTGCTCCATCGTTTGTTAAAACCTTTGTTATTTTCTGTTTTTCCAGGCTGCAGTGCAAAAAGCCATCCCTATGTACAAGATCGCCACCAAAAAGGACGTTGATGTCCAGATCGACCAGGAGGCGTTCTTGCCTGAGGACATGTAAGGGCTCTCCTTGTGCTACCATCCAGGTTCTCCCCGAGACAGTGGCCTTCGACTGAGCCTTTCCTAAGTGGATCTGCTCTGGGGCACGCTTGTCGCCAGATGGCGTTGAGTGTTCCACTGGCAGCTCCTGCTGCTTTTGCTGTCAGTGCTCTGCTGTCCTTCTTGGTGACCAGCTGGGCCTCATTCTCGCCTGTGGTCTCCCTCATCCTGCAGAGAAATGACACTACCTCTGCACCCAGAACTAAAGTGGGGCAGGTTCCAGTATCGGGGCTGAGTATAATCTCTACAAATTATCAAAAACAAAAATTGTAAAATTCTTTTCCTATAAAAATCTAATAGTTTAGGGACCAGCACATGGCATAACTCCCATGTAGTCGACCATAGTTTGAGTCCCAGACCCGGTGGCTTCAAACTCGTGCTGAGCACATGTGTGTGCGTGCCTAAGATCTTGAGTGGAGACTGGAAGAGAAGGGACTGTGGCATGGCCATCCCCCTGGTGGGTGATTTCTTGCTTTCTGTCTCTGTTTCTCCAGCAAGTGTATACACCCTATAGCAAAAATCTCTCTGAAAGAAACAAAATCAACCTAATAATTTAGCCCCTTGAAGATAAAATTGCAGGCCCTGTGGTATATATACTGACTGAGAAAGTGAAAGGACGTTTTTGGGACCAGCGTCCTGTGTCCCATACACAGCAGCTCTGACTGGGGTGGAGCTGTTCCCAAGTGGATGAAGAAGTGTCCCAGACGGCGGGTCACAGTCCCACCAGAGCCCACCGTGCCCTGGTGAAGAATGGATGAATTTAACAAAACTGAACGTGGCACACAGAAATGGGGGAGGTGGGGTAAAAAAGAAGAGCAACATTCAGACTGTCCAAGAAACTTGGCAAAACCATTTCTAGCCTTTCTCTCATGGCCTGCTTATTTCATTTACTTATTTAATTTGCTGTAAGGCACATGTGCTCACCAGAGAGAGGGAAAGTGAGAAAGCAAGCTCCTGGGTCCAGCGCTTGAACTGCGGCCAGCCACGTGGGAGTCCAAGGCCTTAACTACCATGCCACCTGCTAGCCCCAAGGCCTGCTTATTTCAAGAAATATTTGCTGAAATTATGATGTAGCGAATTATTTTGTCCCAGGAGTCCTTGTGATAGTATTCTACTTGGGTGCTTATTCCTCGAACGCTAAGAAACTTGGAGGAAAGGAATAACAGTGAGTGTGACAGAGGGCGGCAGTGGTAACTGTTTATCTGATACACAATTCTAAACACAGCCTTATTGATGCCACTGGTCACTAGCAGGTTCAGGGCTTTCAGAAAGCATTGAGGGGGCCGATAGGTGGCAAGGTGGTTTAGGTGCTGGTCTCCCATATGACTGACACAGTTACAGTCCTGGATGCAGAAGCTTAAAAATCACGCTGTGGGGAACCAGCAGTTAGCATAATGGCTATGTCGCTAGACTCCCACGTAGTCGACCGCGGTTCGCGTCCCGGACCTGGTGGCTTAAAACTGACGCCGGGCGCATGTGCGTGCGTGCCCAAGATCCCGAGAGGAGAATGGAGGAGAAGGGATTGCGGCGTGACCATTCCCCCTGGGGGGTGATTTCTCGCTTTCTGTCTCTCTGTCTCTCTCTGTCTGTCTGGTGAGCACACGCGCCCTATAGCAAAAACCTCTCCAAAAAAAAAAAAAAAAATCATGCTGGGCATGTGTGTGTAGGCCCAACATCCCAGGAGAACGGAGAAAGAAAGGATTGTTGCGTGGCCATCCCCCCTGGGGGGTGATTTCCCACTTTCTCTTTCTCTCTGTCTGTCCTGGAAAGTGCACACACTCTATGGTAATTTCAAACAGTAAGAAAACTTTGAGGTGAGGACTGCCTCATCTATGGGTTCTGGGTTCTGTCTGTTAACTTTTACAAACTGTTTGTTCTGTCAGGGTCTGGCTTCTGAAATGAAATCAGATGCTGTAATAGACAATCAGTTTTGCGTATAGTTGCTTGGTAAATGACAGTTACCATCAACATGAACAGCTTACATCCTCAGAAACTTCTGTAGTTAATTTCAAGCCTCTCCTGGGGGACTAAGCGCACCCTGTGTGCTTGTCTCTGACTGTAACACTTACTCCCTGTGCTCCTCATAGAGCCGGCGGGGTTGAGATCTACAACGGGGACCGGAAGATAAAGGTCTCCAACACCCTGGAAAGCCGGCTGGACCTCATAGCCCAGCAGGTGAGTGTGGGTACGCCTTCTCAGTTAATCTGCTGTTACCTTGAATTGACCACCTCCTTCCACAGTAGTTGACATTTTCTTAAAACGAATAAAGAGGGCCAGCCCTTGGCGTGGTGGTTAAGTCGGCTGGATCCCACATGGCTGATGGTGCAGTTTGAGTCCCAGACCTGGTAGCTTAAATAGTAACACTGGGTGCCCAAGTGTGTGTGCACAGAATTGTGGAAGGATAAAGAGATGGTGTGCCCGTCCCTGTGGGAGTGCTGTCTCACTTCTCTCTCTCTCTCCAGCAAATGTGTGTGCCTTATGGCAAAAACAACCAAAAATGTAAGTGAGGTTTAGGCGTGTAGCAGTGTTTACTGAAATGCTGATTCCTGGGAGGGGGCATGGGGTCAGCACAGTGCTCTGTATCCAGATCCTGATTTATGTCTTGCGACCTGTGGAATCGCCAACTGAAACCTGGGGGGTTTTTTGTTCCTATTTTTAGTTTTTGTTATTTTTAGGTTTTTGCTCGCTGGAGAGACAGAAAGCTAGAAATCACCCCCCAAGGGGCATGGGCATGCATGCACACGCTCTCAGCGTGAGTTTAAGCCACCTAGTTTGGGACTCAAATTGCATTCAACTACATGGGAGTCCAGTGACATAACCATTACGCCAACTGCTGGTCCCACAAAAACTATTTAAAAAATATATTCAACTCGGGACCAGCGAATGGCGTAAAGGTTATGTCACTGGACTCCCACGTATTCAACCATAGTTCGAGTCCTAGACCTGGCGGCTCAAAACTCACGCCGGGCCCATGTGCATGCCTGCCTGAAATCCTGAGGGGATGATGGATGAGAGGAGATTGCAATGTGACCATCCCCCATGGGGGTTGATTTGTCTCTTTGTGTGTATCTCTCTGATGAGTACACCTGCCCTGTAGTAAAATCTCTCTTAAAAAAAAAAATGAATATGTGGGAGCCAGTGAGTGACACAATGGTTAAAGGCGCTGGACTCCCACATGACTGACCATAGTTCCAGTCCCGGACCTGGAGGCTTGCTTTCGAACTGTCTCTGATCAAACTGGAAAATAATAATAATAATAAATACAGTGAAATAAAATAATTATTTTCCAAAAAAAAAAAAAAAGAATATGCAGCTCTTCTCACTAGTCACACTTCAACATGTGGTAGTCACGTGTGGCCAGTGGCTCGCAGGTAGGACCAAAAGCTTTGGAAGCATGAGGTAAACCCTCCTATGGACCTCTCAGTTGCCATAACTAATAGGCTGCCTTGGTAGGTATTTTGTGGGGATCAGGAGGCAGCACAATGGAGGTAACATCTGGACCGAAGTGGGAAAGCTAAGATTGGGGGTGAATTATGGTATGAGGGCTTGTGGGGTAGCTGTCTGTTTCTCTTGAATGCAAGAAGTACTAAGTGTTTTATGTGATCACTCCTTGCATGGAGTAGGCACTCAGCACATCTTTATTGAATGAAGAAGTAGGGGCCACAGGGGGCATGGCCGTGTGTGTGTGTGTGTGTGTGTGTGTCTAAGCGGCCAGAATCCCGGGAGGAGAACAGAGGAGAGATTGCAGTGTGGCCAGGGTCTCTCACTTTCCCTCTGTCTCTTTCTCCAGCAAGCACGTGCACCCAATGGCAAAAACCTAAACACACACACACACACACACACATACACACAGTAGAATTTAGGTGGCCCAGGCTATTAGGAGGCCAAGTTAATAGGCCCATCTTTTCTCTACATCACACTGTAACAAAGGCCTCAGACATGAGGACTTTACATGTCTCAGTTTTCTCCTTTGTCCCCTTTGTAAGCAGTCAGTGTTAAACCCAAATTTGTATCTAGTTACCAAGGATTCTGTTGCAGTGCTTTGGATGAATAAAGGATGAGGATATTCTTTCTTTTTAAATGATCCTTTTTATTAATTTTAAAGAATTATTTAATATTATTTATTTACTCGTTCATTTATTTACTCTTTTTTTTTGGGGGGGGGTAGATTTTTTGCTATAGGGTGCTTGCGCTCGCCAGACAGACAAAGAGAGACAGACAGAAAGTGAGAAATCACCCCCCAGGGGGGATGGCCACGCCGCAGTACCCTCTCCTCCATTCTCCTCTCGGGATCTTGGGCACGCATGCACACGCACCCGGCGTGAGTTTTAAGCCACCGGGTCCAGGACGCGAACCGCGGTCGACTACGTGGGAATCCAGCGACATAGCCATTACGCTAAATGCTGGTTCCCTATTTACTCATTTTTAATTTGACCAGAGAGAGACAGAGAAAGTGAGAAAGCAAACTGCCAGGTCTGGTACTTAAATGGTGGTTGGCCACATGGAAGTCCAGTGCCTTCAAAACCAAGTCATCTCCCCGCCCCCGCCAGCCCCAGACCACTGCACATGTGGTGCCCTGCAGCCCGCATGCTCCAGGAGGCCTCTGGTGTGAACCCCATGCCTCCGGGTCAGCTTCCCAGGTCACATCTCGAGCTGTACCCCACTCAGTCACATGGAGAACTGTGACCTGCCGCGGTAGTTAAGATGGACAACTCTTCCCAGCTCCCCCATTTATTATGTCTTCACAGATGATGCCGGAAGTCCGGGGAGCCTTGTTTGGTGCAAACGCCAACAGGAAGTTTTTGGACTAAGCCTTGGGGAGTGGAGTCCATCTGCTCTACCGTGGGAGTTTCTGAGAATCTGAAGAGACAAAGTCGTCTACGTACCTCCTCCTCTGCTGTTCGAATACTGTCCTGTATTTCCCCATGGGCCCCTGCAGCCAGAGTCCTTGGCCTAGTTGGTAATGACAGGAGAATGTTCCATGAACATGATTGGGAACCTACCTCTAGTTCACTCCACAGTAACATGGCCTGGAGCTGTTCTGTACCGTGATGGTGAGGGATCGGCTGGTGGTTGCCTGGACGTCACTGAGCCCTGTTATTTTCCCGGCTCAGTGGCCTGGTCTGCAGGGGCCTCTCTGGTTCTCTCCTCCCAAGCCTCTGCTCTGAGGCTTTAGCCGCATGGAGGGGATGGATCC